GGGGTGGGAATAGGGCGGGCGCAGAGGGCACCTCCCACGCCCAACTCCCCCGCCCCCCCCGTACAAACAAGGGTTTTCGCTGCTGATCTGGCTAGAAGGAAATTGCCAGGCTGGGTGGGTGGATGGGTGTGGGCATGGATGGTGGGTGGGTGGTGGGTGGGTGGATGGTGGATGTGGGGTGGGTGGGGTGGATCGATAGATGATATAGAGGGACAAAGAGATGTTAATGAAGGTAGTAATTCTGGAGATTTGGGAGGATTTTAAATACTATTTCTTGGGGAAAAATTGAAGTTATGAGCAGAAAGGAAATTCATCCTTGGGGGGGGGGGGCGGTAAGGCATAGTCAGTCTTGCTCACATGGTGGTGCGTGTATCACGTTATTGTCCCACACTTTGAACAGATCCAAAACCACAGTTCCATGTTCCTGAGAACCACACGTGGATGAAACTTCAGAGAACGTGTTTGTGCGTATGTGTGTCTAGTATTTTAGGAACAAGCAGTGTGTGTGATAAATCCCACAATGCATCCAGTCACTCGGCTTTTTGCCATTGAGGCCTATGTGTGCCAGGCCAGGGGCGGCACTGGGTGTTGGCACAGGCAGCTGCCTGAGCGCGTGCTGACGGCGACAGCAGTCGGGGAACAGCGATGCCGGCCTCTCCCGCGTGTGCTGATGGCAGCAGACCTCTGATCGCACGCTGTCGGCACGCGCTTCTGCTGGGAGCTCCCTGCGCCGAGCACACAACACACGCACCCGTTCCCTGGAAAATAAATACAAAACTCATGTACCACGTGCCTGGAAGACCCCAGAAATCACCTGTGCCACGTGCACGCAGACCCCAAAACCATGTGTGTAAACTAGTCCAACTCTCGGTATCATTTTGCCACGTTCCTTCTGCTGAGTGTCTGCTCTGCGGGCTCTGAGCCACTGTCTGTGGCCTGGCCGGGCCCCGCGTGCCCTGGAGCGGGCAGCGCTCTCCCTCCTGCGCAGGTCTGTCCTGTGCGTCCGTGCGTCCGTCTGACCCGCACCATGCAGGTCATCCATTCCAGCCGCGTCGCCCTGGGTCAGGAACGAGAGGCCAGCACATGCCGGTTGCTCCCCGATCGCAGAAAACGCTGTTGGTTCAGTCACTCACGATGGGCTCCCGACTTTCTCCTTCTTCCTAAACCAGCCGGAGAATCTGCTATTGGCCAGCAAGTCCAAGGGGGCGGCCGTGAAGCTGGCTGACTTCGGCCTCGCCATCGAGGTTCAAGGGGACCAGCAGGCGTGGTTCGGTGAGTAGCCCCCCTGGCACCACCCACTCCCGACGAGGACCGTGGGGACGGCTCCCCGCAGCTCCAGCGTGGAGACAGGGCCCACAGCACCGAGCCCTCCTGGCACTGCAGGGCGTCAGTCAGAGGGACGGGGGCGGGGATGTGACGGGAGCAGCAGGGACTCTGCTGGGCGGGGAGGGCCGGAGCCGACAGACGCCACTCGCTCGCTCGGCGCTCCTGGCTTCCCTCGTGAGGAAAGGGGTGTCAGCGCAGCCTCATTGGATGCTGAGACGATGCAAAGAGCAGGACTTGGAATCTCGCAGTGCTCCCAGGCCTGTGGTTCGTAAGTGAAAGTTTTAAAAAATAGTTAAAAGAACATATGTACGTAGATATGTATTGTGTTCCATCTTAACACGTTAAGCGCCATGTCCAGACCTCGTGACTGACGATACACAATTTAAAAATTATATTCTTCTGTTAATAAACTTCAAATAACTTGGAGATCATAAAGGAATGCACCTAAATATTACTTGTTACCAAAAAGAATTTTAATGAATATTATTACAACACGGTCTACGCAAAAATGGTTGTCCTGTGCAGGTTCCACAGGTGTTACAACTGATTTGTCAGCTTCCTGGCAGCATCTCCTCCAAATCGTGCTGCGTTGCCTTCGTGGCATTTTTTACAATATCCGCGAGCTCTAGCCACTCTTCCAGGTTTTCGTTGCAGTTTGTGACGAGATATTTGAGTCTATTTACAGCACTGCTATTTGGAATTTCTTCATCCCAACAATTTGTTAGATGGACAGCTAATTGCTTCTGAAATTCTGTGATACTCATATTCTTCTTGCTATTATTTTTAAATAAAATACAAACATTGAGAGCAGCAGTATTTAGTAGGAGCTCAAAGGCTAGCTTTTATACCATTTCATGGGTTTTCGTACCGGATTATCATAGGCACTCATTTGATCACATATGTCAACTGCTGCTTTTCCTGCATTATAATCCACTACAGTTTTTGGTTTCAAGTGGTGACCTGATCTGTTCTCAACATTCACCATCTCTGACGTATGTTTTGTTGAAAGATGTCCTGCTTATCTTTCCATTTTAAAATGGTTATTCCTTTTTTGTTCTCTTTTGCTATAAAGTCTTTGTTTTAATTTCTTTGACGTTACTTCATGAGGACTTCCCTGTCAATTTGAACATAATGTTCCTACTAAATGAGGATTATTATCGAGTAATTTATATGCTAAATCTAAACTCGTGAACCAGTTGTCTACATCTGAATACATCTCTACAAAGAGACATTACAACATTAGTTGGTGTCATATTTTCTTTTTCTAAACTTTTCCCTGTATATACACAAAAAGCATACGTGTACCCAGATCTGCAGCGCAACTTAAATAATTTAATACCGCATTTGTGGCGTTCGTGTTTTCAATATTGCCTAAATATTATGCGGCCACGAAATGGTATCAAAGATTCATCGATACGTAGAGCTTCAGATGGATCATAATATTTTTTGAAATTTATTTCCATGTTATCTATTAGTTGTTGTATTTTGCATAAACAATTGGAAACATCTGTCTCCCTATTGTCTGAAAAATGCAGCATTCGTAATAATCTTTCAAATCTATTTCTTAACATTTTTTTCGGGAAAGTTTGCATACATGCAGGATCATGGGACCAATATAAACGTAAAGGTGGTCGTCTAACTAGTCCCATCCATAGAATCACCCAAAAAATCTTTTCATTTCATTTCTGTTTGCCATAGTCCACCTGCACAAACGCTGCGAGTTTCAGCCCCTAGTTTTTGCGACGCATATAAGTTCATTTCTTTGGCAATATCCTCAAACAGTTCATTAGGCACAAACAGTTCATAAGAATTCTCTACTGTTGCACATGATTTTGCATTCAAGTCTTCAACCCTAAAGCCAGACGGATAGGTGAAAGGCATAGTCCTTGGTTGGTTACCTCTGGATCATGCCATTCTTCAAAAGCCTCATCCTCATCCTCTGATGACAAAAAAAGAATGACGTTTTTTAGGAAAACTAATTTCACTTGAATCGCTTTATGCGCTTCTTCTACTGACATTGTCACTGTTACGGGTAAAGAAAAATTGTTAAACTGCACTGGAACACGAACCATAGACAACTGACTGAAGAGAAAGCATTTCTAAAAGAACACAGAGTACAGATTGCGATAAATACATACAGAAATATGTCTGAAGATGTACATGCAGTCTTATCGCAACCTTACTCAGCTCTCCGGCCACCAGCATATCGGTGAAATCGGACATCATGGGCTAAACGGAAAGGAAGACCAAACCGGCTTGGCGCTTAACGTGTTAAAGGTCCTTTCTCTAAAAGGCCAGTCTCCTCTCTAAAGCTTGGCTAATGTTGACATTTCTATGTGATGAAGCTTCTGTTTACCTCTAATCGAGGAGGAGATGGGAGCTGAACCAGCTTAGATTGCAGCATTTCTGCCACCGGGCACCCCTCGGAGACCGGCCTGCAGAAGCTGCTTTGCACTGACGTCCGAGCCCCATGTGCCGGCGCCGAGTCACCCGTTTCCTAGGGCGTCCTGAGGCAGCCCCTCCCCAGCCTCGTCTCGTTCCCTCCTGGCGCTCAGTGGCCGCGATGAGCGAGCACTTCACATGCCTCTCACTTCTCGTCCTTTTCCTCTGAGCAGCTGTCCGAGGGAGCACCCTGCCGGTCTCCCTCTCCCGCCTGGGCCCGCCACACGCCCTCTCCTGGCCGTGCCCGCAGCCCCGCTGCCCACCCCTCGCCTGCCTGCCAGGTGATGGTGGATGGCGTGTGGCCTCCCGGCGATTGGGGTCCTCACTTGCTCCTGCTGTCCTTGTCCTCGTCTTTATCGTGTGTCCGTGGGACCAGACAGTTCTTGTCTGTGGCCCGCTCCCGTTCCGTACGCCTCCCACGCACCCTCCCGCCCACCATGAGGCCTGCCCTCCACCTGCCGGGCTTGTCCCTGCAGAACAGACGAAGGTGGGGCCTGGGACTCGTTGTGTGAGCGTGGGCCTCCGTCGCCTGCGTGCTGGTGAGAACACAGCCTGGCGGGTCCGGCGGGAGGCCGGGCACACACAGCAGGGCCTGCGGCCCTTGTCCGTGCACAGGGGCGGGGCGAGGGAGCAGACGGGCGGCCTCCGTGCTGGGCACACTGGGGCCGTCCCGAAGGAAGGGGGCCTTTGTTTCCCGCTGCCAAGGGGCTTAAGGGGCGTCCCAGGCGCGGGCTGGGCCGGGGAGGGTCTCAGGGCCTGAGGAGGTGTGCAGGCTGGAAGGTGCGAACGCCCCGGCGGGGTCGGGTGGGGGCAGCAGGGGGGCCTTGGCCTTAGTGAAGGGGCCTGCTTGTGGCCCTGGAAAGTCAGGGATGTGGTGAGAAGTTGCAGGTT